GCATGATGCCTTAGTCCAGCGAAACACTTTGGTGCTGAAGCGTTTTCCAGAACTCCGTGACGTCTTCGCGAGATACGCCAAACGCAATCGCCTCGGGACGAGTTTTCACATACTCATCTCACATCTCCATGGTAACCAGATTGGGCCGACCAAGATGGTACAGTGCGCAGCGGAACGCATCCATGAAACACGTACCAGCTTCGGAAGCACTAGCACAAACGTCGTACCACCCCACTCGTCGCCATTTTGCATCATGTACCGCGTCGATTCCTTGTCCAGCGACTCCATCCAGACTGTACTTGCTGATAGAAAAATGCTGTCGATATACAGTGGGGGGGACTCGCTGGGCCGGGTGTCTCGCTGAAGTTGACTGACTGAACTCGTGCAAGCGCCGTGGATTGCACGGTTTCGACTTGCTCATCTTTGGAAATGATAGTTTTCTTTTCTTGGGCTTTTCTCGGATGCAGCAGGGTCGCGCACAACCAAGAACATACCCGTTAAACGAACCTGCAGCAAAATATTCGCTATTTCTTCAGGAATTATCGTTTTAACAACCTCATCAAATCGGCCCACTGTCACTTTCCAGTGAAGAAAAGAATTCGCGTCCGCCAATAGTGACGGGGTTCGTCACTGACAAATCGGAACAATGAATACGCACTCAGCCATTGGAGCTGGGGACGCCGAACACAAATATCCATAACTACCGGTAGTGACAGTAGTGCGCCTTCACTGAAAATCAGATCGATCGTTTCCTGCGAGAAGGAATCTTCACTGTGAGCCCGCGCTTCTCGGAATTTATTGAAGCTCCTTCGAACGATAAAAATATCGTTTAGGAGCAATGCTGGAGTAATAATGAATGCAAACCCACGACAAAAAACACTCGAGCACCATTATTTTTTTCCTGTCCTTAGCGAGCGTTGATTATGACCAATAGCAGCGCTTTATTTAAAACAGATGGCTGTGCGTTAATGTGAGCTTATTATACTTGTAGGAGGGGCTGATAAGGAGGCAATAGGAAGAGCGACAGCGTACAAATAGGTAGAGCTGTTCGACCGAAATGTTATTAGCAGCCCTCAGCGGTGGGCCACTTTGGAGGTAGTGGAGACAGGTCATTTACAAACGGAATACATGTATTTAACCCCTTGGTTCCCGGCGAAATGTATCGAAAACGAGATAAATAATGTCGTAACTTACGACATGTCCATGTCATTACTTGTTTGTATGTGGCATATGTTCGACGTGCGTATAGGTGTATAAGTTTTTGACAGGTTGCTCTCTCAGAAGTCGTAAGTTATACTTCTTAGTAGCTAGCAGAAAACACTGTATGTCGTAAGTTGCCCCACATTAGAAAGTACAGCGGGAAGATCTGCTGCACATCGGGGAAAAGTGGTGCACAGAGCTGTTTTATGAATCCAGATCAGTAGAATAGACAGAACAAAAAGTACAGATGCTCAAGGAAATGTGTATTACGACATGACAAGCGCCCACACTCTTTTGATGTCACGCTGGCAAGCCTACTCTTGTTCACTCTCATGTTCATCACCGCCGTCTTCCTCATCTTCACGAAGTCGCAACTCTCGACGGGTCTTCTTGTGCACACCTGCCTTCTTCCCCGGGCGTCGCAAGACAACTCTCTTTCCTAGTGTTGCAGGAATGTTTTGGCCGCAGTCGAAGTCGTCGTGCCAGATCTCAAAGCACGTTTTAGCTACACCCTTGTACTGACGTCGTATCTTGCTGCACAGCCAGCACTTTGCATCGTCAATAGAACAGCGTTCGCAAAAGTAAGTTGTAGCAAACGACTTCTTCTTTCGATCCGTGCGCAACAGGGCACACACCTTGCAAGATCGCTGGCGACGCTTCTGAATGCCCGTAACGGTCACCCAGTCGTCGGCCTGCTCGACAGCATGTGTCAGACGTAGTTGGGGGCGCTTTCGCTTCTGGCTGCTAGGTGTCGGTGTTGCAACAATACCAGCGAAGTCCTCCACTTTCAGCTGCAGTAATTGGTTTTGCAGGACTCCGAACCATTCTCCTCGCTTCATCACCGGCGTTCCAGCGATACGTGCAGCCTCTTTGTGCGAAATAAACGCATTTACAAGTGCCAAATCCACGAAGCCTAAAAAAAGGCTTTTGTAGTATTTCTTGAACTTCGTAGACTTCTGCAAAGAGTACTTTTGTAGGCGGAGTTGATCATGCACATCAACTCCGCCCATCCAACGTTGATAGTCGGTTACAGCCGCCGGGCAGGGCACGGTAATTGTACCAACGCGCTTGACGTTTCGTGTAATAGTCGTCTCTGTCATTGCCGAGCCTGTGCACAGGTAATGCACAGGTTTCCGGTCCCACCAGTGAAATGCAACCATATTTGGAATGGCGACAGAACGAGAAAACGTGAACATGCCTCGGGGAACGCTTGCTGGACGTGACTTGCGTTTCTCTTTGACATTTGCATCATATCCAAGCCGGTTGGTCATTATCGTGCCTATCACGTACACTTGCATGCCCAGTAGCTCGATAGCAAGTAGAATTGACGAATAGAAGCGGTCGATAGCTACTGCGTGCCATGGAAGCCGGGTGTTGGGACCAAGCAATGTCTTCAAATTTCTAACGACTGCAGCCGCACCGGTCTTATGGTCAAATGCTGAATGCTCTCCATCTCTTCTTTTGCCCGCATACAGCTCAAATCTAGTAACATACGACATAATTGGTGAGAAACCAATCTAATGTCATAACTTACGACGTAAGTAAAAAAACCCAAACCTGTGGCAGTACGCGGTCCTTGAATCACACACCATAAACATTTTCGAGCCATACCGATGAGGCTTATCGGGCATGAACATTCTAGTCGTGTTTCTTTTAGAAGTAGAAGGCAGAACACCCTCGTCAAAAGCGAACACTGCCGGGAGGGTCCACGCAATCAAGAAACGATTCTGCATTGGCTCGACTACCATTCGCAACTTCCAGAGCCTGTCTCGCGTACGCTCCGCCTCGTTGTCCACAAAGTGCAAGTCGCGCAACATGTCTTGACATCGATTCCGGCCCATGAACCTTCCAAAATTACCTGCAGGAACGGCCCCATCCTCCACCATCGACCAGTGAGCGGCAAAACGTCGCTTTTGCGGGCAGAGCATGCGCGCAATCAGGAGACCTATCACGTGTAAGATCTCGTGCGTCTCGTATCCCGGCTTTTCCTTCAAACGCCGACTAATCTGCTTAACCGTCTCCTTTCTCCGATCGTGTTGCTTTGCATGAATTCTTTCTGCACGTCTGGTGACTTGCTGAAGACCATACCGATTCGTCTCTGCAGCTATCTTGACCCATAGCGACTTGGGCATAAAGTAAAAGAATGTAAGTAGTGGAGAGTGGCAAACGTTTAGTAGCTCAGCGACCGGTCGTGCCTCTTCCATATTCAGACCAGAGTACGCTTCGACACCCTCCTCAAACTCGTGAGTGACTGGAGACCACTCCATTGAACGTAACGCGTCCTCACGTTGCTGCTTGGCTTGACTGTTGAGGGCATCACTGCCTACTTGAAGTGAGTCAATGAACGCTGCGTCCATTGGCACAGCGTCATCTTCTGATAGCTCATCCAATTCTTCAGGTACTTCACAATCATTGCCATCATCGTCATCATTGTCTTCTTCAATGTCGTCATCACTGTCTCCAGAGCTAAAGCTCTCGTAGTCACTCAGGTCTTTGTCGTCAGTCACAAAATTTACATCCTTCTTGACAGGATGACGGGGGCGTAGGACAGGACAGGTCGGCGTAGCTGGCACACGAACAGGTTGGGAAGCGTGCTTGCGTACGGGTTGGGCGTCAGGCTCACGTGTAGGTTGGGCGACGGGCACAGTGACAGGTAGGGCGGTCGGCACAGCTATAGGCTGTGCGGGCACTGGACTGTCAGGCGGGGAAGCAGCGCCAACATCCGACTGAGCGTCACTCTCGGGTCCAGATGACAGAAACTGCAGGTTTGTCGCTGCGTCTCGAAGCTCTCCGGGCGACAAATTAAAAGCCCGAGTAACTGCTGCCTGTGAAAGCTCGACTTCAGAGCTATTGCAGCTGCTTGGGGTGCCAAACAGATCATTCATGGTTTGCTGTGACAGCTCAGCACTTGTGTCGATCTGCGACGCACGTACGTCCTCTAAACAATTATCGGCGGCGTATTTACTGGAAGTGACGGCGTCTTCAGTAGCAGAGGCAGCGGCGCTCTCGTCATCGTCGGCTACTACGTCAACAGCGACCTCATCGTCTGCAGCGTTGGCTTCCTCTGCGCTCTCCGGCTCATCCAATATTCCTGTCTCTAATGCATACGCCACCACAGCCTCCTCTCCAACTAACACCTTTGAACCATCTGCACTTACGTACTTCCCTTTAGTTTGTATCCCGGTTGGTCGCTTGTACTTCCATCCCACAGCTCGAAGTTGTCGCCAAAAGTGGCCAAAGTCAATGTTGCGCGCCACCGCAGCAACGGCGGCTGTTTTGGTTCGTTTTCCAGGCCGGATGCGAGCCATCGAGCAAATTCTGTAATGGGCTGTGGGCCACTGAGTGGCAACTGGATACTTTCCCGCGTATCCCATCTTTTCCGCGCGTCCCTGATCCCTGGCTCGTTTTTGGATTTTTCTCACTTACCGGTTGAACTTTATCGATTTCAAATGACTTGATTAAAGTCAAGGATTTCCATTTTTGAGCCATTTTCTAATGTTATTCCAATTATGTCGTAAGTTACGACATAAAAAAAGAGTCATGTCGTAAGTTACGACGTCGGGAACCAAGGGGTTAACTGGATCAGCTAAGGGCTATTTTTACTTTTAGCAATAACTATGAGATGTGCTAGTAATCTTACCCGTAAACGTCGAGCAGGGGCGTTCGCTTAGGACAGGGGCGATGCGGTACGTGGTGTGGAATTGATGACCTGGTTAATTTTTGGTACATTCGTGGGCGTTTGGCCAAGCACAAAAACACTATATATAGCAGTGGCATTTAAGGTTGAAGAAAAAATTAGCATGGCGACTGCAGCAAGATCGGCGGCATCAATGCGTTCGTGGGGATCCGCTTGCTTTCGTTAAGCGATGGACTGGGCTGATGTTAACTTACGCACTAGCTTCTGCGCGTAAGAAGGTGTTTCGCTCGACCGCAGGACTGACAATAGATCAGCAGCTTCAAATGACCGCACAGTTGCAAGCTCAAGGTGACGATGTCCTCAAGGTAAATCCATCGACGTACTATCTTAACTCAACATGCCTAACACATTTTGCACTCAATAGACCATTCGTCAAATGAAAAAGACGTCAAAGAACCAAAAGCAGACAACGAAAACAAACACTCTAAAGGTGCGACAAATAACGAACAGAACAGAAGAAATGTCATTTATTAACGCACAATATTACGCAGTTCGAATGGCTTCAGGAACACAGCCACCTGAAAAAGTTAGAAGAGGTGTGGGAGGAACTGTACTTGCCATGTAGTTCGACTTGTATTTAACAAAGCTCGATGCTACAGAACTGCTCCAAGGATCTCGAATCGTTGCTGCTGCGCATGTACAATGAGGCGAGTACAGCACGAGAGTCAAGCACAAATAACGTTATTACGCCCCGTTCTGGTGGTGATAACCAACGGGACGTCGACGATGACAGTGGCAAAAGTCCCGTGTCTGCGTCCATATCTACCAGCACAATTTACGCTGCGGAATTGGAAGACCTCATTCGGACAGAACAACTCAACCGCGTTGCGTTAATCAACCAAGTGGCATCAGAACGGGAGCAGGTACAACGCTGTCTCCATTGTTGACAAGATAATACCGGGGTTGTTCCTGACCTGTATGATTAACTACTGTAGAGAGCAGCTTTAAAGCAGTTCCTGTCCGCTTTTACTCAAGAACACGGTAACAACTGCCTCTCTGAGGAGAAACCCCGGAGCTTATCGAAGGAAATGCAGGTATTGCCGAGCTTGGGCCTCCGGTTTAGTAAATTCTCATTTATTGTAACGTTATTATAGGTCAATGTACGCCAGCTGATCTACGACGCTGTCATCGGGCGTCAAATGATTGAAGCTACGTTGGAAGAAAAAGTACAGTCGTGCGAGCGAGAGTTCGATGCTTGCTATCGTAAGGTATTAGATACCCTACGGAGCGGTGCCTCAGTAGTAAGTGGAGATAAACAGCAGAGTCAAGAGCAGAGAATCGCTGCAATGCTCGACGCAGCAGGAGCGAACGAGTGCGCTGACGAGATGCTGAGACTTGAGATATACCAAGCATTTCAAAAGGTTTTCGACCAGCTTGAACAAGATCTTGCAGAAGACGGGAGAGAATTCGTCAGCGCTGCATCTGCTAGTGACGCAGCTGGTAACATTGAAGCTGCATCGTCCAGAAGTGGTGGGTGGAATGAAGCAGAGGAAGAGCTATTTCTCACCGTTCTTCGCAGCTATGAGAAGAAACAAGGAGCTGGTAAAAATAGTTTATTATTGTACGATCAACTCGCGTTAGTACTGCCCACTGTCCCTCTCTTGGAGATAAAGAAACACGTGAAATTCCATCAGCATCTTCGCTTCTTTCAAGAGAAACGGAAGGATCGACAACGGGCATTTAAACGGAAAGTGGACGAGCTTCAGAGTAAAGCCAGTTGCAGATTTCGTTTATCTGCTGAGCAAGAGAAAGAGCGAGTACGGAGGCTGCAAGAGCTGAGTGAGATGCAGCAGCAATGCGAACAACGGCACCAACAGGTTTCTCAGTGGCGCGAGACGAAAGAAGCCAAAGAACGGATAGAACGACAGCAACGGGAGATTGAACAATTACTAGAAACTCAGAGACAGCGTGAGGGAGAAGTGCAATGGCAACGAAGACATGATCAACAGAAGTATGCTGTCGACGAGTATAAAAAAGGGAAAATACTGCAGAAAATAGCCGAGGAGAACCGTACGATGGAAGAAGAGCAACGACGAGAACGAGAACGAGCGCTTCAAAGTGTCGTTAATGCTGAAAGAGTGCAGTACCGACACGACGAACTCCAGGTTCGTATGGGTTGTATTATTTTTTTTTAGTACTTGAAAAAGTTTTATACTCATTTGGATTGTTGTAGCGCAAAATGGACGAGTTGAAACATCAAGAACTTGATCAAGCTCGTTTGGAAGAACAGCGATTGGCCAGGCTGAACGAGTTGAAGGAGACAACACCTTACGCTCAGATCGTCGCCAACATAACAGTACGAATATTTGAAAAAGTATTTTTTTTACTGTTATCGCATATATTTTTTCTTTGTGTCACTGTAGCCAGACCCGGAACGCACTCGACAGGAGACTGCTGCCTTCCGTGCTAACGTCGAAGCTACCCAGGAAGGTCTTCCAATTACTGTACGAAGTTGGCCTTCCCCTTTTCGTCGCTAGTGTACTCATCTTTGTTACTGTAATAGGAAACGGGATTGTTTCCGAGTCATGGATACGACTGTGAGACGCTATTCAAGAACGCAAGATTCAAACTGGGCATTGCTCTACGGGTATGTTATTGCTACATTGTAGACCTTGGATGTCTCTGCTTACTCTTTTTTTTTTAAAGAATGCTGGGTTAAACTCGAGTGAGTATGCGCGTCAAGCACTAGCAAATGTCAAGGTCTGCAACGTAGGAGCGTACAGAAATCACGTTGCCGAACCTACCAAGCTTTGGTAATAACCTCTAAGTTAAAAAAAAACTTTTTATTTAAAAAAAAAACAAATGTTTAAGCGACGAGTTGTAAGGCACCTAAATCATAAAATAGGTTCGATCCAGTAGCCAGTTGCGTGTTAAATTTGTGCAAACTTTTCATCGCTCGTTTTCGCAGTCCGAATTGTTCCTGCGCCGTCGTTTGGATCATATTTTCCACTTGTTGCAGTCTCGAAGCCAGCTCCGCCTTTGACAGCGCGGCATTCTGCGCTTGTATCGACTGCGACGCTGCAGCTTGTCGTCTGTGCGTTCGATTCATCCACTTGACACAATTCATCTGAAGTCGACGCGTGCGTTTGTCTGCATGAGAAGAGGCTTTGACACTCTGCATCGCCTCTTTAAGCTGAGATCGTTCCCTTTTTAAGTCTTGCAAAGAGCTCATCGCTTGAGCAAAGCGCGTATTACTAAAACTAAATCTTCCAAGAGTCTGGAAAATAATGTAACAATAAGTGAGATGTTACCAACCATTACCAGCTAATTGTTACATAAGTTACCAAATGCGTGTCTCGACTCCAAAGTCTCCAGTCGAATGTGTCATACATTCCCGATAGTTTGTCCTCGTCACTTGGACGGTTTATTATCTTTTGACAGTGTCCCTCCTCTCGTGTCAAGAGATTGCGACTCGCATTGTGGCGTTGCAACCGGCAGCTCAACACGCCTGTGTCGGTGTCCAGCGCTTCCTGGCCTTTGGACAGCAGTGTGCGAGCGCGTTTCTGCCATATTGGGCCTAAACAAACTCCCTGTTCAGCGTTACGAGCCACACACGCCACTCGACAAAGCTCCTGTACGTCCATGAACTCCCAAATGTGTTGTTTACATTCATCCGCGAGCTCCAGCAGCATGCTTGTCGCTTTCTTATCCTTCTATTAAATCCTAATATTTTTAGTAAATTTAGAATTTTTGTTTCAGAAAAAAAAACTCTCAACATGGCTACTTTCAGTAATTTGTATGATAAAAGCGGCTCGAATTTCGCTTGTTGCGGAGGCTGTACCTTGTCTCAATACGAGGACGCTTACAATGGAGAATTTACGACGGGATCGCTCGTTCCATCAGCTGATAACGACCAGCAGCCGGCGTGTTTGGTGACATTCCCGTATGATCCTGCACTGAAAGAACAAGTTGGTGAACGACGTGTAAGAAGAGATCGACCAATAGGCGCCAGCTATCCGATCGACAATTACTATGTACAACTATCTATGCTGCGAATAAGGCGGAGCTTGCCGTTCTCAAAACGAAGACTCATACGGGAAATGTCAATGTACAAAACCATGGGGAGACACTGGCAATATTTCAGGAAACGCTAGCTTGGGGGAGGGCGCGCGAAACGAGAAGTGCCGCCCCCGCAGTTCAGGCGGATAAAACCTTCTAGAAGGTTCCACGGCCGCCCTACATCCGCCTTTCTGTATTACATACTGAATCTATGTTAAGCTGAGCCTGCCTCTGATTGGCTACAACTCTACACCTATCATATCTGATACACTCACCCTCCCTCTGGCGTGCGCGTCCCCTCAGTCTTGCCATTCCCGAAATTGCGCTGAAGGCCAGAGGTGCCGTTCCCCGTCGAATTAGTCCGACCCCGCGTTTACCCACGCCTGCCTTGTGCGGGCCTGTTTACTTGGGGCTTAGATAGGTCCGTCCTGGGGGATGGCTGTGCCTACTGCGTCTGCTGCTGCCGCTACTAGCTCGCCTTCCGCCGCTCCCTCACCTCGCTCGCCGCCGCCGCCTGCTCCTGCTGCAGTTCCAGCTGCCATGGTCAATGCTCCTGCTGGTGCTGTAACCCCGCTGTCACCCGTACGGTCGTCTATTGCTCCCTCGTCGCCTGTACGGGCTCCTGTTGTTTCCTCGTCGCCTGTATGGGCTCCTGTTGCCCTCTTGTCGCCTGTACGGGCTCCTGTTGCTCCATTCCCAAGCGACGCGGCTGCCGAAGCTCCTGGCTCAAGTCTTGTGCCTCCCCGTTCGTCTACGTCTCCTGTTGGCTCCTCTTCGGCTACGCCTCACGACGCCTCTGCGTCGTTGCCGCCCACCGTGCTCCAGCAACTCATCTACGAGGTCACGTTTGAAGGGTTGTGTGGAGATGACGTTGGTGGTTATGCTGCGGCCGATGATGCTAGTGATGATAGCGTTGCAGCTGAGGATGTTCCTCTTCAAGAGGTTGGATTGTTTAGCGACGGAGATGAGGAGGACACCCAACGGACGAAGCGCGCTCGGCTTCGTCGTGGCGATGAGACGTCGGACCGGCATCCCTTTTTGCTTCCCAAAGCTCCGGAGAGACATCCAACCACGAACCATCGCAACCACTATAATCCGGATGCTCCTTGGGATTATGCGATCTCGGCTGGAATTACACGCTTGCTTGATGTCGAAGGGGAATCACCGCACCGCTGCTATCTTGTTCAGTGGAAAGGTCGTCCGATGCAGATGGCGATGCGATAATCGCATTGATCAATGGCATTTTGAAAAGAAGGTTAGAATTTATCCCGACTGGGTCAACAAATCAATTTATCCTACCCGATTGTCGCCCCCCCCCCCCCCGAATCCGGGCGGTGTATAATGTGTCTCAACACGTATATCCGTGGCAGCCACAAATCAAAACCAACGGTCCGAGCGGGGGAGAATTATGGACCTACAAGAGCGCGTTACAAATAAGTGCCCTCTGGCTGTGTGTGATGTCGAAGATAGTCGTTGCGTCGGATGTCTCCCAAGACGATGTCTGGCAGTCAGCCCCGCCTTCGAAGCCTTTGATGAAGGCCAATCAATCTACGGAGAGGGGGGGGCAACAGAGGGTGCGAGTAGCGGAGAAGCGCTGGAGTCAACTAGCAGCGAGAGCAGAGGGTCGTATAATGTGGTCGCCCTTCGCCGCGGCAGATGCAGTTTTTTTCTGGGGAGGCCTTCGAGTTCTACATGCCTGCATACGAGGCCCAGATATGCCAGGTACAATAGCCAAACGATTTGGTATATTCGAATTGTATCTTTTATTGGCTCATGCATCTGCAAAATGCACTATGTTGTGGCTTTATCCGTGCTTTAGGCGTTTAAGTCTCGTTCCAATACTACAGCGACTGAGCGCAAAGCTCGAATTGACAAGAAACAGTCGAAGGCGGTCAAGATCCCTCACAGCTATATTCAGTATAACATAGAGTTTGCTGCACGCACCACGGCTAGTACAAGTCCCAAGCTTCGATCAAACGGCCAGGGCAGGAGGTTCGTGCGAAGGGAAGCTTTGGTGCAGGTATGGCCAGGCCCAGTCAGGTCCTGATGGGTTCAGTTGGGTTCAAGGACCCAGTCATATCTAGTCGGATTCTTATCGGGACCGGTCGGACTCAGTCTGAGTTGCTTTATTATCTTTTGATATGACGTCACTGATCTGTTGTATTTGCAGATAAACGCTTGTGGCCAGGTCGTTGACGAAGACGTTTGCAATCATAATCACGAAGTGCCAAATGGAGCACAACTGCCGCCTTTCTGCTCATTCATTTCGCGTACACTCGTCTAATCGTCTGGAACTAGACGATGCTGCCTTGCAAACAGCTGATGTTCTGAGAAAAGCTGGTGCAAAAAAAACCAGCATCATAAAATATATCACTAAGCACTCAAATTGCAACCCAACCTCCCTAGACGAACAAAATCTTGTCAGGAAGCAAAAGACGCGCGAGGCCAAAGAAGGGCCAAGTAACAGTGACAAACGTTTGAAGAAATGGATGAGGCAATTTGGCGATCAGCCTGCAAATGCTGGACGGATGTTTCTTGACGACATGAGCCAAATGGTAATCGAATTAATCTTCGTCTCGCTCACTTTGAAATACAAATTAAAAGTTTCGTTGTTGTGTGCTCAAAATTTAGAAAGTTGCAGCCTGTATCACGATGCTGAAGTTCGCTCCTTTGTGGATTACCTTAAGCGAAATTGGGATAATGTCGTACCTTGTGGTGTGCCCATAGACGACAGAATTAATCGACGCTAGAAAACGGTGGGCGAAACGAGAGCCAAGACCAAGTGGGATACATTTTGGCGCTACTTCAAAAACATCTGGATGAACAGCTACGGTCTTGATCCCTGGAACGTCATCAGCATGCAGGCGGCGGGGATTGATCTAACCAACCAGACGAACAATCCTTTAGAACGCTACATTCGTACGCTCAGGGATTGCTCTCGGTTACGCACCAAGTCTCCTTGCTTTCGTAGAAACAGGGAAAGGTAGATGTGTGTCACGTGATCTGTAGACGAACGGAGTTCGGAAGAGGACTTATGCTCGAAGCGGTGAAATGAAGACTGAATTCGAAATTAATGAAGTGAAATGTGTGCTACGAGCTACGTCCGTTACCTAGGCTGGAGAGGGAGATTAGTTGCCGTGATTGTGCACGTTCGCAGGTCGTTGCAAAACGGACGCTGCTGCTATAGGCTTCACGCCTGCGAGCTGAACTGGCATCGTCACAGTTCCTCCCGTAGACGCGCAGTAGCGCGAGTTTGTGAAAGTGTGTTAATATATCGACGAATAAGACTAATGACTTGCCGCAGGTTGTTCAGTGGTTCCCACGATGGTTTTACAGTCGAGTCCTGCCACTGCACAAGGTATTCTGTTTTAGCCTTGCGCTTCCTGTGCTTGTGATTGATTTCACTAGGTGTCCAATTGAGCCATCCGCAGTAATTAACGGCTGGATTCGATTGATACGGCTTGTAGATGGATCGAAATGGTACGGACGTAGCAAGGAGACATGAAATTCAGAAAATAATCGAATGCCCGGCGGTAATTCGAGTTTGTAGCGGTCGGGGCCTGTTATATCTATCACGCGATAAGGACCGATAAATCTTGCAGCAAATTTCGAGCTCCGTCCGTGCCGAGATGGTCTATATCCAGATTGCGAGTATTGAGGAGCACGTCGTCGCCAACCTTGTAAGTTGCGTGTGGTCGATTCTTGTCGTGATTTTTCTGCCAATTTGTCTGAGCTGCTGCGATAGCGTCGCGTGCTTGACCCAGAATTGCCTGCTGGTGTTCAATAAATGTTGACGCTGGGCGTTGAGGCGGAGTTGACGTAGGAATAATGCAATCGGCCACCGAGTGAGGTTCGTAACCTAAGTCTGCCATGAATGGAGACATTCCAATTGACTCGTGGTTTCTTGAATTATAGGCGAATTCTGCCAGAGGAAGGAGCTCGTCCCAATTATTGTGATGTGGGTCAATAAAGTGCCGAAGATATTCCGCCAGAACCTTGTTCGTGACTTTGGACTGTCCATCCGTGAACGGCTTGAACGCCGTACTGATGTGAAGTGCTGTGCCCTGTATTTCCATGATATGTTTTCAAAGTTTAGACGTACATTTTGAGTCTCGATCGGAAGTAATGAAGTTAGGAAGGACATGGAGACGTTGGTAAAAGCGGAAAATAGTGTGGCTGTCTTTTTCGCGGTCGCGTTCGACGTGGTTGGTAGAAAGTGTGCTCACTTCGTGAGCCGGTCCACTATAACACGAATCGCATCAAACTTGCTGTTTGTCCGAGGTAATTGCGTCATAAAATCCATGCTGATGTCTTTCCAACGTTGTTCTGGGATCTCTAGGGGATGCAGATGTCCTGTTGGCTTGCCGCGTATGTCCTTATTTCTTTGGCACATCTCGCAACTTTCGATGTACGCCCGAACGCTCTTTATCATACCCGGCCAATAATACTTGGTTGCAATGAGTAATTGTGTTTTCGCTTGTCCGGGATGACCGCGTGTAGGCGTGCTGTGTTCCTCATGTAAAATCAAATTTTGTAGCGTGTTATTCGCTGGTACACACAAGCGAGCTGGAGCACCAGGACGGATTCAGAAGTAGAGTAAACCCTTAGTCAGCTCAAAACGTTGAAACTTGCGTGGTCTTGTTGCTGTCTCCGTTAGCGAACGCCATATTGGGCCAAAATATTTGTCTGATTCATAAAGGCGACTGCATTCTGCCGTAATGTTCAGTAACGTTGAAGCTGATTGTGCAAATAGAGTTTCTGCTTCTGCCGGTTCTTGACCTGTAATAGACTTTATTGTGCTGAAAGACTACACGCTCGACTGGTACCGTCATTTCAGGTTGGATTTCGTGATAACGTGTCAGCTATAATGTTGGTAGATCCTGGAATCCACTTAAATTGGGGTTGAAAAAGAGCTAGCTCATTGAGCCACCGCGCAAGCCTTTGCGAACAAGTTTGCTGTTGTAAAATACCTTCGATAGTGCGGTGATCGGTATTAATGAAAAATGGACGACCGATTAAGTATACCTTCCACGCTCGCATCGCGTGGAGTGCTGCTAATAACTCTTTTTCTCGTGTTGGGTAAATAAGCTCAGCTCGTAGTTTTCTTCCGGTAAAAGCCACGACGCTCTCGTTACCTGCGTCGTCAAGCTGAAAAAGATAACCTCCAACTGCAAAATCGGAGGCATCCAGTTGACGTGGAAAGGTTTTGAAAAATCCGGGTGAACAAGAACAGGAAAAGACGCGAGTTTTGCCTTAAGTCCTTCAAAGTATTGTCGTTCAATATCTCCAAACGTAATTGGGTCTCGTCGGTTTCCTTTTGTCAATTCTGTTAATGGTGCAATTAAATCACCAAATTCATCGCAAAATTTCATCACGTAGACGCAAGTGCCTAAGAACGACTGTAATTCTTGCTTGGTACGTGGTCTTGGTCAGTCTTGTATGACTATTATCTTGCTTGGGTCCATACGAATGCCGTCCTTGCCTACGAAATCCCCGAGGCAGGGTATCTCCGTAGCGCAAAAAGTGCACTTCTCAATTTTAGCGTAAAGTTGCTGTTCTGCACATCGAACTAAAACTTTTTCCAATGCAACAAGGTGGTCATTAATGGAGTCTGTGCAAGTGAAGACGATAAATCGTCAAAATATGTCTGACAGCACGATTGTAAATCAGAAAACACGAACTGCACAAGCCGATTGAATGATGACGGGCCTGCTAGAGATTCCCATCGGCGTAACCAGATACTCGAACAGTTCATCTGGAGTAGCAAATGCAGTGAAGGGTATAGATTCTTCGACCAATTTTACCTGGAAGAAGCCTCACAGTAAATCCATCGCAGAAAACAATCTACCCTTTGCCATAGATCGTAGAATCTCATCTTTCAATGAATCGGGTTTGCTGGTACCCGAATTTTTGTATTAGGTCCTCAGAAGTCGTGAGCTATTCTCCATTCTCCACTGCTCTTCTTTATGCAAAACGTTCGTGCACAGTATGGTGAGCTAGATGGGCGAATCATATTTGCTGCTAGCATTTCTCTAGTCCAGGCGTGAATCGCTTCTCGTTGCTCGGCGGAAGGTGATAATTGCTTTCGATGAATAGGGAGGTCGTCAGTTAACTCGATTTTTGCATCCATACCAACCTTACGAGTAGGTGGCACGGATGGTAAATGCGATCTGAAGACTGTATCACGAAACTTATTGATGAGAGGGTACACGGGTGAGCCTTTT